TGCTTTAATAGAAGAAATTATTTTAACAGATTCTTACTACTCAGGGTCAATAAATTAAAAAAATAAGGATGCCTGGGTTGATACCATGGATACTACTAGATAAAGAGAATAAAGTACTTCATATGGAAATATATAGCATCAGAACCACATTGAAGAAAACATTTTTAAATCCAGAAACAAGCAGAAAATAACAAGAAATTGACAGCCAGCTGAAATGCTTTACAGGAGTAGAGTTAAAGAAAAGGCACGGGGCAACTTCCTTATCTGAATGCTATTATGAGATGATACATTAGGTATTCTGAAGAAGCAAATTAAAAGTAGTAAAATTGAGTGAAAATAAATGTAAGCTGATAATGATTAAAATGATAACAAAATTATCTGAGTAAGGACATTAAGAATGAAGAAGAATAAAAAAAATCTTCCTGGAAACTACCTTAGAACCTTAGAAAAGATTCAGTTAAAAGTAGTCCAATACACATTGAGAAGGTTTAGCTTTGAACTCTATGATCTAAAGACCAGTGATTTCAAACATTCAGTATTTCATCTTCTTACAAATGAGTAAGAAAATACAGAATCACAACAAACATTTGTTATTTAATTAGAAGAAACTACATTACTGGAATTAAAGTTATGAAGGTAGAACTGACATGAAAGCTTGGAGATACCAGAAAAGAAGTGACAATTCTTTATATAGTTGCAGTGACCTGGATCAAACAATATACATGAAAATGTTTCATATATTTGAAAAGGTCAGGAGGTATCTGTCTGCCTGCTTAGGGAGCCTGGTCTCTTACAGGTTTAGATAAGCATCCCCATTTACCTTTCCTATTCTCATGTCAGGGAAATCAAGAAGAGCTTCTGGCCAGTGCACTTGAATACAATTTTTTCATGATGTTTCTTAATTTCTCAGTTATACTCCCACAAGAATAATACAAAACAGAAAATAGTTAACATACAAATGAAATGGGGTAGCCTTAAAAGAATTTATTTCTTATTTTCTTTCCCTCTGGACTACCTCAACAATACTCTACAGTGCATTCAAACTGGCAAATGAGTAGATGTGGATCAAAGCTCCTGTTCTGCTCTAGAAATACATTAGAAAGCACAACAGTTTGGAAGCATGCCCAGGTAGCTACTGTAGCCTGGCTAAAATTATTAAGAAATCACTTAGCAGTAAAAATCAGATTTACTGACATTTTCCATGTGCTTGCTAGCCTTGTCTGAAAAATATACTACCTTCTGACATAATAGTACACTGACTCACTTGGTTTGTGACTCTATTTTTCTACTGTACATGCCATGACTGAGCAACAGTCATCTCTTATATAGTGTAAGACAAACAGTTATGGTAGCAAAACAACAACTTAACCAGTGTTGTTAATCCAAATGCAAGTTTAGAATTCCATATGCAGGACGATTCCTGCCGTTATGAGATTGATCTCAGCAGATCTACTGTAATTGACAAATCCCTCCCTTTCCATCTTGTTACCTTGGGCACTTGAGTGTATCATGTGGCTTTTCCAAATAGCATTCCTTCTCACTATTAATGATTTTCAAAAACTGTTCTGTTCTGACATCAGACTACTTGTTTCCCAGACTCTGTCGTAAATGGAATGAATTCCATTAATAGCACATTTTCCATCAGCAAGATGCTTTATTCTTGTAGAAATGAAAAGAGACAGCTATGAACTTCCTAGGCTAACTGCTACAAAGTCTAAAGACTTTTTGATTCACACGTTCCAGTATTTGAGGGAGGAAATGCAGCCCAGATTAGAGTTTTTACATACTTTTTAGGCTGGAACCAATGAAGGGGAATTTGGGACCAGATTTTGCAAGATCCTGGATGAATGTGAGTTACAAACTTCCACATTTATGACAATGGACAAATAATATGAGATAGTCAAAGGGGGAAGTGAAAAGTAAATTTTATTAGGGCTAGTTGACTGCTCTTGTATGCTGTCTACTTTCTGGTTCATATTATACTTGAGAGAAGACAGAAAGAAAATAAAAAGTGTCATGAAAAACTAACAACAATGGCTGATGGCCAGCACCCTTTCTAGCAAGCTTCGTAGCTGCAATAAGCAAACTCTTACTTTTCTCCTTTTCAGAACATTTTGCACTTTTCTCACATACGTTTAACAATTCTGATTGACAATCAATAATTCAAAGAAGAGTTTTTTTCCTAAGCAGTTCTGAGCAATAGTTTCATAAATTAAGGGGTAGACCAAACCAACTGTTAATGTCATGATTTTGAAGATATTTTTGTGAATCGTGGAAAATATAACAAATGTATTTTTGAAAGCAACATGCAGCAACTTTACTGGAAATACAGCATGTGTTCAGTCTCTTATGGTAATTCTTATGTCTATGAATTATAGTAAAACTAATCTTTTTTTTCCCACCATACTATTAAATCTATTAATGATTATTTTTTTTTTTAGTACAAGCTAAGTCCTTTTAAAAAGCATGAGCATATTAAATACAGCTAATGAAGAACTAACACAGTTTACACCTTTCATGTGGGAATCATGTAACACTTGACAAAGATCATCTTTCACTACTAAAAAGAACAAGAATCATTATTTTATACAGTGTACCAGGAAAGTGACTCTCTGAAAAAGAGATTAACCAACTCTTCTAGCATAACATGTCAAGTAGCTGAACTGGGAATAGAACCTAAAGGTTCTGGCACCTAATTCTTTGCTGAAGGCACTAGACTATGTTAAAGTCAGTTATACAAAACAGCACTGACATCAGCAGAAGTACAGTTTATCCCCTTTTGCATTTTAGAATGTCAGTCTCCATAACACTGTGTGCTTTTTATTACAACACAGCAAGTACTAGATTTAATTGGTATTAATTGTAATTAGGAAATATAAACAGATCCAATTAAGCAAATCAATCTTCCCCCCCCCTCCCCCCCCCCCTACAGTATTTCCAATTTATCACTGAGAAGAAATGATGGGAAATCGGGTTTTGGGGAAAAAAAAAAAAAAAAACAACACACAAGTATCTATAAGTTCCAGCCCTATTTCCAAGCCAGAAGTTTCTGAGCTTTGGATACTTGCTGTGAGCTGGCAGGAAGATAACAGACTATTTTTTCATACATTTGCTTAAGTCATCCACAACTCTTTTTTTAAACAAACAAAACTGAAAGCAGATGCTTAACGGATGCTCGGTATTATCATTTAACTCCTAATTTTAGAGATGTATTTGAGTTTCCAGATGCTTATCTGAACTGAACCACTGAACTTCTTGAAATTTGTCCAACACCTATCCTACTATTATAAATCAAGACAGTTGTCATGTATCTTCAGTGCATGATGTTATAGGATTTCCCTTCTAATGCCATACAAGGTACCACTCACCCATTATAAAGATTCAAATCAAGGAGATAAGTGACTGAAGGAGGTAAAGGGTGAACAACTACAGGGTCTGAAGTTCCCAGGACTTTGTACATGAATATTCTAATGAAAATGAGTACAGAATGAGAACAAGTATAACAAAGATATCAAAGGAAAGCATGAGAAGACAACACAGTGTATTCCCCATGCTTAAGGCTGGACTCCTGACATTTTTGAGATTTTTTTTTTTCTTTTTGTCGACATTTTCCTATTTTCATTACTGGCTGGAATGAAGTTAATTGTCTTCATAGCAGTTCGTATGGTGCTGTGTTTTGGATTCGTAACCCAAATAGTGTTACAGCTCACCAGTTTGAGCTACAGTGCTCTGACAAGCAAGATAAAGAAGCATACTGGAGTTCATAAAGGTAATGTAGATATATATTGAATATTATCTCAGTATTGATATTACTGGTAAACTCTATGTAAAAATTTCCAGTAAACAAGTGGCAAAGATAACTGTCCTGCTTTAATGCACGATTTTCATTATAATTTTCTTGTTTTACAAGTTCTGTGGCAAGAAATTTGTATCTTTGCACTGTCTAATAAACTTAAAGAACCTATCATATCCATATATATCCAAACATATCCAAAAAAAACAACAAAACAATTTAACAAACATTGTTACTCTTAAAGCATCTGTTTTCTCTTAGTAAATAATATAAGACAAGCTCATAAAATGACATTATTAAAAAGGTATCGGAAGGATCTTTATAAGACGGAATATGCTAAGTCAGAAATAATTATAACAATTTGAATGATCACTAATAGTAATCTGCCTAGATTAGTAGATTCAGATAGTTTTCTTGATTTCTCAAAAGGCAAATTTTTAAGTTGAACACAGTTCCAGGGGAAAATATTAGCCCCCTGGTAAAATTTATTTCTTAAGAATTTTTAATATAATTCCCAGAAATACTGAAGCACTCTGTTACCTCAACAACTCCTACATATTGGAAAAGAAAAATCTTTGTTTCCTTATCTATACCCTTGAACTGCTCCAGAGATGCTACAGTGCTGATCTGTGCAGCACTCTAGGAAAACAGAAGAGAGTAAGACTGTCCTTTTCAATAGCAGCAATATACATTCACATTGTCTTGTACTGATCATCAAAAGGCACCCTCAAATCTCATTCCTCTTATCACTGGACTCTGACCTTGTAAATCACTTCCTTCACCTTAGGCAAAATCTTCAAATCTAATTAGTCAACTAATGGCTATACCATTGATATAAAATCACATTACCTCATGTATATATGTGGAAAGATATTTTCTATTCTAGTCTTTTATAGACTTGAGGACATAAATTCTATCTGATAAGTATACGATGAATATAATTACCTAAATATCATGATAAAAGATGAAACAGAAAATAAGAAGAAATGTGTGAGATCAAAGAAATAATTACCTTTGATAAATGGTGTCTAAGATCTGTGTATCCATTACTCTGAACGCATATTAGGCATATTTGGAATATAATCCACAACAGATAGTAGGAATTTGAAGAGACAATAGATACTTAACACAGCTTATATTACATATAGAACACTTTGTAAAACATTACAATATTGACCAATATATACGTATTTTAAAATGTCTTTACCTTTCTGGAAGAATTCTTCTAATTTTTCCTTGAAGGGCTGGAGATGCTCTTCTGAAGATTCTCTGCAAACTAACTTCATTTGCTTTTCGGAGGCTATAAAAACAAGTTGAGAGCTGTTTGTGGTAGATATCAACACTTTGAAAGCCTTCATCTAAATTAGTCACCTAGACATACTTTAGAGGTAGTGGAAATAAATATGCACTATTGAATCCAGCCATTACATGATGATAAAAACCACTGACACTGGACCAGTATACCAATTAGAAAATGTTTCATGTGTTTAAAGAGTGGAACTTTAGTAATGTCTTGTTTGCTGTACTACTCCAGCTCTGAGCTGAGGCCTATTGCTATAACAGCCTACAACACACATTAATTCTACATGGTATTTAAAGCTTCAAACTTTGTTCTGATGTGAATGGATGTTGCCTTATATCTGAATTGATTTTAATCAATCAGTGCCAGTCATTCTATACTCAAGCATTTCTTCCAACAGAAATGCAGGAATTTAACCTTATTTAAGCATTGCAATTACAGGCCATGATGTGAAATGTGAGAAATGATGTGATGTGACAACTCTGTAAGGAACAACTTACATATAGCTGTAATTTGTTTACTACTTAGTCTGTTATTTTAAGACCAGATGAGATGCCAATTTATAAAAAACTCCCTTCCCTAAAACTCCTGTTAAACTTTGAAGGTTCAAGCGTTCCACACTAGAGTTGAAATTAGACTGTTGAAAATAAAAATGCAATTATATTTCATTTAGCAACCAATTTTATGAACTACTATCGGATTTCTTTTCCACAACTCTTCATTCCTTAGCAGCTAAATTTAGATAGAAATTTATTTTGGAGTCAAATCTAGTAGTTAAAGTTTGGCTGCGTTAAACATTTTCACACCACATTGCTGCCACCATTATATAATTCAACTTATTCCAGCAAAAAATTAATACAAAATGGTGAGAAAAGCAACTGTGAATTTTAAATTAACATTATGTTATTTCAAGTTTTCAGTGCAATGAAAAAATATCAATGGAAATTGAAAACAGATGTATACATTATATTCCTCAACTATTTGCATTGCGTATAATGCTGGGCCACCAGAACTTGCTCAGCAATAACAGCTTTTCAATTAATTGAGAATTTAATAAACAACAGAAATAAACCATGGAAGTTTTTGTTATAAACAAATGCTGATATCTCACGTAAGTACGCATTTTACTCTAACATCCTTTCACAAGTCATGTAGATAGACTAAGAAATTACTGAGGAGCTCCAAAGCTGATATAAAACGCTCTAGGCTACAGTCTAACTACATCTTTAATGTCTAGTCTTGCAACCTGGAGCATAAGAGAACTTTGAAACTGTTGAAATTGAAGCTAATAGAGATTTGTTTGTCTGCCAGAGAACATTCAGAAATAATAAAAGTATCAATTCAAAGCAGATCTGGGAAAGAAAATCTTTTATTAGCTGCTCTGTTATGCGTCTTTAATAACTGAAATTGGGCAGCCCTATCAAATGGGTGGCACCCTACCAATAGCAGGGTGTTGGAACTAGATAAACTTTAAGGTTCCTTCCAACCTAAGCATTCAATGGTTCTATGATGATTCTATGAAATTAGGCAAATCAGAAATCAAAGTCTATAAGACTTTTAAGACTATTTCCAGAAAGTACGTGCCTCTTACAACTAAAAGTTCGAACTTCATATCATACTCTGAATGAAATTTATGTAACATTTTAATTTGTGGAATTAAAAGGAGTTTTCTACATCTGCTCAAGGAAATTGTAATACTTAGGAAGAAGATGGACATCACATTGTGAAGAAAAAAAAATCTAGCGAAATACCCAAGATTTTACTGTTAATTTTCCAACTGAGATTTTATACAAAGTAGCAGCTACAAGTTTGTGCCTAATTATCAATACATTTTAAAAAAGGAAAATCTTATATAAAATAATATTTAGAATTTATTTTAAAGCAATATAAAAAAAATGTCAAAAGGCAGATAGTACACATCATGTTGAGACATTTCATATATGGTGCTTATAAAATGTGCATAATTAATACGATCACCTTAGGTTGAAATTATTGCAAGTCATTTATTATGTTATAGCAATGAAATAAATTTGTACAAATAGATACAGATACGAATATATATATGAAAACACGTATAACTAGAGTATATAAACAACCACTGTATGTATAACAATATACTCTGGAAAGGTGCTTTTTTTTTTTTTTTTTTAAACCAATAAGCAGTGCTACTAATACATTGTCTTGAGTACTGAATGATCAAGCCTAGGACAAATTGCTTTTAAGTTAGAAAGAAAGAATATGAAAAACCCCTTCAATAAAAATATTTTTGAATAAGAAAGACTAACATTTACCATAATTAGATGACAAAAACTACAGAAAAATATGGGAAAGTAGATTAGGGTGGTGATTTCTTTAGTAGAATCTTAAAATCCATAACAAGAACAATATTTAGAGTGAGAGGACAGGATGAGTAAAAGGATAGGCACATCAGAGAAGAGCAAATGAGACACATAATGTAGAATAAGTCAACCACAGGTGCTGATTTAAAACTCTAAGTTTGAAATCACATGAGATTAGATGAAATGCCGGTCTGCACTGCTTATGTAATCTTGAAGCAATAAAATTGGAAGAGACAAAAGAAGTAAATGCTAGAAGACAAAGAAATTACACTATTGAAAAGCTTTAAAATGATACCATTAGGCAACTTTGATGAAAATATTTACCTAGATTAAACTATCTGGAGCAAAAGTCTAATCCCTGAAGTTCTTGAGATAACTGTCAAAATGAACTGAAGGGCCATAAGAAAGTTTTAGATTTGAGCAACGGAAATCAAGAACAACAGTTATTGGGTGAAAAACTGCTAATCGTAAGAGTAAAGTCTTTGTCCTGTACTGATTAATTCACCTTTAATTGACTCTGAGTTTAGATTAGACTCCAGTGAATGACCTATACTTCTGGTCTACGGAGAAAAGAAGTGTATTCATTTAGGCAGCAGAAAGTTATCTAATTCTGTTTAAACTCAACTGCATTGAAATATTTGAATAAATCTTCAATTTATTTAGTTGCTAACATAGATATGGACTCAGTGGCTGAAGACATTATGAACTTCAGCTTGAGCTGCTGTCTCAAAAATGCTATAGCCCTGTTGAAATGTGTTCATTATTCTTTCAGTCTCCCCCTCAGTAATGAAGAACACGATGGAGAATAATGATTCCTTCTCCAATATAACAAAGCAATGGCTACGACCACAAAACAGATGCATCTTGCAGGCTTATGAACCTAGGAACTTCATCAAGCTTGCCTATGGAAAACAGTGCTGAAAGTGTGTTCAAAGAAATCACAAACTAGATACAAATAAAGACATTCAGAAAAGGAAGATTATTTTAATTGTGGGCTAAATCAAGTGCTTTCATTAAAACAGCAGCTGAATCCTACACGTAAAAGTCAGGTGGTCTTTGTCAATCTCAGTTTGCAATTTTTGTGAAAGGCTATCACACTACTCTGTGACCTATCTGAGTACTACAACATAATATAAAGGTTTTTGGAAGTTAATTTTCACCAAACTTAATGAAACTAATTTTGATAATACTTTCTTAATATTTATTCAAAAATTTATTTAAAATTTATTTATATATATATTTATAAAACCTACTAACTCTGGCTAAACATTATGAAATGAAAATTGAAAAGTTCCACTAATTGTTCTGATTTTCTTTGCTAAAAATGCTATAATGTGTGACATTCACACAATTTCTTCAGGTATTGTTCTCATATGGTCTGCAATGGAAACATTTTCCTTTAAAAAAAAAAAATCAGCAAGTTTTCTTTTTTTATTAGAATGATTCTGAGGTAAGGATTCTATTAAATATTCTTTCTTTGAAATATATGTACATTCCAGGAAGTTTCCTTCTAAGAAAGAAAAAAATTTCTGAATTTCTGAGGAATCTGATAGAATTCTGAAGAATCTGATACCTCACATGCACTTCCTCTCTCATCAACTCATTCCGAAGTAATCTTTAGAGGAAACAACGAACATCCTTTTTCAGCATTAATGGGTCCAAACATATGCAAATTCACTATTACTGTAACCAACTTTTGATTCCTTTTCTTGACATGTATTATATGTTAGCCAAATAAAATGCAATATACTACTTTTTGAAAATTGTTTATTTCTAAATGAGCTATTGCAAAAAAAAAAAAAAAAAAAAAAAAAAGAACGAGTTGCTGGATGTACATCATGCTTCACCCACTGCAAATCTTGGCCATAGAAATGGAAACCATTAGGAAAACATTAGAACAAAGCTGGAAACTGCTGATTATCAGTTTGCCACTGTCTTCAGATTTAATGCAGTATTTGGCTCTAAAAGTTCTTTAAAAATCCCCAATATAAGTGAAAATATTTACACAATTGAATGTCCCTCACTTAATGCCTATTGGGCAATAGTCTTTTAAAACTCCACAGGCACTTGTAAATCTGTCAAAAGAATCACTGCCCATAAACAAACTTACATGTAAAGAGCATTTCAGTGTCAATCAGGATGGATTTAGAATTTTTTAAGTATCATTTTTTAAGTAAACACGAAACCAGAAATAGTTTAATGTTGATAACAGTAAATTACTAACTATTTACTCACCAGAACCCATCAGTAGCATTTACAGGAATCATTGTGACAGAGAAACCACGCATCAACACCATGCGTTCCTATAAACCTGTCACACTGACCACTGTCCCCCATGACTTATGCCGTTGTGAAAGCCACTAACAACGCCCACTCCTCTGTCCATTCTGAGCCTGCAGCTTATACTGCCAGCCTCACTCTCCTATTTTCTTTTCGTAACACAGTCTTATCTTTGACAAGATGGTTGCTATTTGCTAATTCTTTTTAGAGCTCTTATCTTTTGTGCTTCAAAGGAGATTTGAAACTGTACCTCAAATGATTTCAACACTGCACTGAAGAAAATCAAATTTCTATATGAGAGGACACTTGGCATTTTACAATCCAGAAACCTGTCACACTATTTGGGCCTACACACCCAAATAAGAATCTAGCAAAGTTCAG